TGTTGAGCTCTGGTGTAGAAAAAGTGTTCATGGTGTGGGTGGAGATGGGAAACAGTGGACCAGGTTACAAGGTCAGGGGGCTTGCAAGAAATGAAAATTATAATAATTTTGCATTTAAAAGTTGAATGTGTTGACAGGAGATGGACAAATCAATAATGTATGGTAACGTCACAGTTTTAACATACAGCTGCAAATAAGTGAGAGAATTAACACATCATGGAGGAACAATCCATGATACTCTTTGGCTTCTATTTCAACTTCTGGCATTTTTGACTTGTATCACAACTTCTCTCTTGTTTATTCAATCATATTGTTAGCTGAGGCCCAGCTGAAATCAGAATAGTCCTCAGACTCAAAGGTAAAATAAAAGGCATATGTAACTAAGAGAGTTAATGACTGCAGTGAGACATATTTAGGCCAGTGTGTTCATTTTCCCAGTCTACTCTAAACAAGCACTCAGACCACTGCTGTGTCCATGGGCATCTTTACAGCCAAGTTACAGCCAGTCCTTAGTCACCCGCCTTCCTCCGCTCCCCTCCCACCCCACCTACTCACCCGGAGCCAGTGTTTCTGCTTGGACATCTGTCCAGGGTTGGCAGTTGCAGATGTTGTTGACGGCTGTGAAGCTGAGAGGAAGTTCCAGCTACTCCAAAGTCCAAATGTTTCTTTTTTCATTTCCCTGTTTTGTTTTTTTTTTTTTTTTTTCAGATCCGAAAGAAGAGGAGGTATTCCTCTGGGAATGATAGGAACCAGATTTGTGTCGCTCTCTTTTTTTTTTTTTTTTAAGAGTACAGCAAAACCCTGTTTTATGTGTATGTGTCTTGTGTTACGGGAGATTCCAACGTACTTTGATCACAGTGAGGGTGAAGCAAAATCTTTAAAAGCATACTCAGACACAAACACACACATGCAAACTAAGCGGGTGACTCATAGCATCATCCGATTCACAGCTGAGTTTAACCGAGACCTCCTGAGAGCCTGGGAATTGATGCCAGCCTGCAACAAGTATGTGCAGTGTTGAAGCAAGTTTTTTTTTCAAATTGATGCATTACTCTGGGACTGTTAGAAAAGGAAAGAGATGGGAATTCAGAGGCATTGTTGTATTTCTGAACAACCCATATTTTCTTAAATCCTTCTTTATTCAAATTTAACTAGTTTCATATGATGTAAAAGGAGAAAAGTGTGTTTTAAAATCCTCAGACAAGCAGAGATGAGGGCTGGGTTCAAAAGTCTTGTTTATCCAGTTGGTTATTGTCTTTCAGTCTAGAAATCATGAATGTTTTTTGCATTAAGGCGCTGCTGTTGTTCATTTTTGTGTCTTTCCTCTGCCATTGCTGTATTTCTTTAGTGTCCTGGATCCATTACTGAAAGCATTACAGCATCAGCAAAAGATTTATTTTTTTCTTTCCCTTTTTTCTCAAGGCCATGGCAGCTTGCAAAGCCTGCAGAGTATTTAAGATGTTCTTGATTGTTCAGTGCTCCTCTCTCCATTAATGTGCTGCAGTATCATAGCCCTTTAATCCTGCTTGTGTGCTCTGTTGTTTGGCCCACCAGCACAGGAGCAGCCAGCCAGCCAGCCAGCCAGCCAGCCAGCTAGCTAGCCAGCTCTGATTATTTAAGGGTCCCAATCCCTAAAACCTTAAGGTCAACAGTAACTAATGTACTTAAGATCTGCTGATGGCCCTGTGTTTCTGTCAAATTGAGCTTACCACGTCAAATCTAATATATTGGGCTGCAACTTAAGTCAGTCAGCCCAGCTCTTAGTTGCAAACTGATGCAGTTAGGTAATCAAGACACTGTAAACTTTTTCCAGTGTCGAGGGACTTGTCTGCTCCAAGAAAGCCCCCTTAGATATTTGTCACCTTGTTGTATAACGTATTATTTTTTACTTTATTTCTACTAACAATCTTGATTTGTTTGTCATTAAACATAATCTATAAGCAGAGTCATTTTCTACCTCATAAAACCTTTCCTTGATACACTTTTGTAATTATTTTTTATTTTTGCATCATTGCCAACCAGCTTAATGATGATTATGTTCTGTTAGCTGAATGGGAGGTAATTATCATCAGTACTCACAGAATTGCTTAATTGTGCTCAATAGTGTTTTACACGAACTTCCAACCTTGAGGTAATTAACAAATCCATATTTTATGCTAGTTGGGAGTACACTCTGAGTACACTTTCTGGGCAGCTTCTGTGAAGTGTATGTACATCTCTTGAGGCACAGACTTAGTTTTTGATTGTTTTCGACTGCCTCATACTTTAAAGCCAAGCGTGACAGTATTTCACCCAAATAGTGGAGACGAGTTGTTCTGACAAAGCAAGTCGTGGGACAGGATGTGGGCCTGAGAAGTTCCTGTGTAATCACTGCAGAGATCTCACACACCGTTCCAACTCTGTAAATGCTTTTGTGAGCCTCTGTGTGCTGCTCCTCACAGCTGAGAATGCAAACTGCTCTCAAATGGAGGTTGAGGATCTAATTGAAGGAGACAAGTGTTTACGATCTCAAGTGTCAAGCATAGCATCCCTTGAATCCTTGTAATTGTACATTTAGATACACTAGTTGGAAAGTACGGACTCCTCATCATGCTTGACTTTACACACACACACACACACATACACACATACATATGACTGCTGAAAGACAAATACTTGACAGAAGCCATGTTTGATTCTTAATAAGATAACAGAGTGTTGAAATATGGAGATAAGAATGCATCTCTATGGATGTCTGCCATGAAGAAACACAAGAACAGCTGGTTGCACGTTTGGTTTCTCACTGTTCTCAATAGGATGACTGACTGAACACTGTTTGCATGGATATGTACTCTCTGGAATAATGCGTACTTTAACTATGTGCTGTATATGTGCCTAAAGGAATACTTTGACATTTTGGGAAGTGTGATCATTCTCTGGTGCCAGGAGATGGCCATCTTAGCTTAGCATAAAGACTGGAAGTCTGCCTCTGTCCAAAAGTAATATGCTAATTAGTGATCTTAGAGGTAATAGTGGGTAGATTTTTTTTTTTTTTTACCTTTGGACAGAGCCAAGTAGGGCACAGACATGATATTGATCTTCTGTTCTAACGCTAGAAGAAAGCAAATACACATATTTCCCAGAATGTCGCATGATTCGTTTAACTGTCTGCTCACTGTTTACACCAACACTCCAGTCTAATTCTCTAATTGATCAGGAATGTTTGATGGGTCATCAAACACTCTGATTCATTTGACCCAGTTCTAATGATGCTCTGCTATATTAAGAGTCTAACTCATACACCCTCGAACCATGTCTGTGATTTAAGTGTCCCGGTTGTCTGATCATGTGAGTCAGTCAGATTTCTTACACTAATAGCTTCCATCAGGCCATCAGGCCCTGGCGCATTATGGTGATGAGGCTGCAGATTTTGTGGTGAAACTGGCAAAGTCTGTTAGATGACGAGGCAAACCGACGGGTACCAGGGGGGTTAACTGAACCTTTTGGTCCCATCACTAACTCAGAACTTCAAAGTGAAGGTCGGTCTCCGGGTTTGGGAGGCGGTGTGGGACTTTGGGATTGGAAGGGTTAGGGGGCAACAAACATCATCTGTAATTGAGGTTTGTGAGGTTAGGGTTTTTCTGCAGGCTTGCATATTCTCCCTTAAATTTTAATGTCTGTTCAGCATGTCCCAGCCGGTCCCAGCACCAAGTGGCAGCTAGAAGAAGATTGAGCTGGAGACAGAGACATCACATAACATTGCAGAGAAAGCACACAAAGACAACATACAAATGAAGCCTGCCAGGAAGGAGACACTGAAAAGGCCTGTCTTCAGTCCAAGGCCATGGAACTGGGAAAATTTTTTAAATGTGACCATGCTGTTAGTTCATGTAGGAATGCCCTTTATATCAAACTAGTAAACCCCCCCCCTCCCCTCTGAGAAACTTATTGTTGGAAATCTCTGGGCCACACTGGAGGGTAGTAGTGGGGTGTCTGACCTGTTGTCTGAGTTAAATGAACATGCACAAGCACAAAACTGAGCGAATGTTTCCCTCCATCTGTCTTTCTCTGTGTTTGTGTTGACAGGATGATTGTATGTTAATTTGTATGTGTGTCACATGGGAGTTATGCTATCTAAATTAACAGCAGTGCTCTGCTAATCCCAGAGTGTGTGTGTGTGTGTGTGTGTGTGTGTGTTTGTGACATCGCAGAAGTACATATTCTCTGTGAGTTTGAGGTTGCAGTCTATATATAGGATTAACCTCAACAAACTATAGGAATACCCAACAACACTCCAGCTGCACTGCACTGCTCTGTAATTAGTGCATGGAGACCACAGAGTTCTAATGTCGCCTGGCTGACTTTCAACACTGTGGGAGATTAGGATCCCCCTGTGATGTCTCCCTAACCATTCTCTGCCAATTCCTTTTATTTCTCTGTCTAGATAACGAAATGAACCCAAATAAAAACAAATACTAACTAGCACATCATGTTTTGGAGTCCAGGAAATCAAAACTTGTAAAAATATAATTGAATTGAATGGACCATAAAGTTCCTCTCCGACTCGATGTATAAACAGATGGTGGGATGCGAAGGAGTGAGAACAGCGTGGCTGAAATGTTTATTTACATCACTCAGATACCACTGCATGACTCTTTCCTTGCCACAAAGTTACTTTGTGTGTTTGTGTGACACCGTGCTTGTACACATTGATGGCTGTGATCAATAAAAGAACATAAACACATCAGATAGCACACAAATGAGGCTTTTTGCTGTTTGTTTTTATTTGGTTCCTGTTTCTAGTCCTGTGTACTGTAGATCATTGCAGAGCCAGCCAGATTGTTGCTTTTAAACTCAGCTGGAAGGAGCTGATGATGATGTGGCGTTTGGTTCAGATCTATTTCACTTTTATTTAAGAACAAGAGCAGAGCGATTGACTGATGATAATATTGAAAATGGTCAGAAAATGACAGTGATGGTTAACCCTTTTCCTCTGTCCTCTTCCTCCTTGTCTGTCCTAGGTGCTGCGTGGGGCTCAGCTGATAGCGGTGGCGTCAGCTGATGGAGGGGCCACAGCAGTAGAGGGCTCCCCTCTCCCCCCTGACATCCAAGTGCAGTATGTCCAACTAGCCCCCGTTGCCGATCACACAGCTGCCGTACAGGTAAAACACACACAAAAACACAAAGTCTTACAGGCTTTCTTACACGTGTACACAGACACAGATTGATTGTAACTGGTTAGCAATCTAAGTGCTGGAGCTGCTATCATTAGGTTAAGGTGAAACAGACTCCAGTCTTAATCTAAATCAGTCCCTCTTCACAATGCATAATAAATAACTGTGTTCTCAACCTCTTTCCCTCAATCTGATGTACATTGACTAGTAATGAGTCCTTTGGTGAGGCCATTAATCCATGCAGTATACTCAGTGCTCAGCCAAAAGATGCAAGTCCCATGGTGTATTTTGGTACTCTGAGGTTCAGTCAGTGCTCTTGTTCATCAAATACACAAGTCTTCTGGATAATTTCCTGTTACTATAGGTTTATGTTGCAACCCATCAGTTATAAATATTTCAGCTTTGCAAATAGCTTTTTTGTTAGTCGGGTATGTCAAATGGAGCAAACTTATGAGCCTCATCAGCTGTTTATGGTGAAAATGCCAGTCAGAGCCACACAATTACATTTGCAGCTAATTCAAAACACTGTCCCTCCTGACAAACAACACAACATTAAACCACCTCAAGTCATACAAATTTGATACAGAATCCAAAAGGGATTTCATTAAACTTGCTGAAACTATCCAACAAGGCTCTGCCTCTCTGCCAGTAGTGGCACAGGAAACTAAATTCTAAGCTCAGAGATGAAATGTTTCTTGCTGCAGTGCTCCTTGGAGCTTGTACTTATCGCCTAAAGTGAAGTACTCAGCCTCGAACCTTTTTCATTTATTTAATGAACTGCATTTTTTCAACACAGTTGGTATTTGTTTGTACCGATGATGTCACACAAGTGAAAAATCCATTCTTTCTAAAGATGAATAATACATACTCTTTTAAAGGAATGGCCACTAGTTAATTGTCTTTATATTGAATAATTAAGTATACACTTTAAAAATTAATACAGAACTCATCCTCTCTGTCCTTACTTCAGTTGTAAGAATCCATACATGCCTTTTTTTCTTTGTGTCATATTTCTTCTCTTCTTTCAAGAAATGAGCTGCTGACTAGGAGCCAAAGTGTCTGGGGCTGACACCTGCCTTCTTTTGTACTATAATGTATTTGATTAGCATCTTAAGGAGGCAGAATATATCCTGAAATATTTCATTCATAATTACTGAAATGTTGAAATAGATATATAAGTATAATTTCAACATTTTAGCCAAACTCCTTGCAGGTACAATGAGTCTGCCTTTCCACTGTTGTCATTTTGCTTAAAGAAAAAGCACTTAGCTTTCAGTCATTATGACAAACAGTAATTTAACATAATTAAGTGGAGTGGATGGTAGGGTTATAAGGAAAGAGTAGTAGTTAATTGATACGCCTACAATCCCTTGATGATTGAGCTTGTTGAGCAACAGCCACATGTGGAATCAGGATGGTGTACAGGCACATGGCACAGCTGCCTTTCAAGTGGTCAGTTTAACTCTGAGAGGAATATAAAAGACCACACTTTTCCATTGTTCTCTCTGTTTTTGTTTTCCCCGAATATGTTGAATATCGTATTCCCTCCTTAACTGCTTATTTCCCTGACGTCATATGCTAAAGATGGGTACCCTCTAGTCCTGATATGAGTCAAGTCTTTGTTGTATTGTTATAATTTAAACAGAGAGAACATATATGATATATGGCTGTAAAATACTAGTCCTGTCCTGATATGATCTTCTTGCAGACTTTGTAATATGATTGATCATATTCGCCTCCCTGCATGACATATGGAGAGCAAATGTTCTGACCAGCTACACATCAGGTTTTGGGATTTCCTTGTTCAGACTTTTTCTTCTCACTATGACCCTGTCTTGTTGTCCATTTGTTGTCTTTAGTTGTCTAGGTAATTGGTTCCTTGCCCCTGTGAGCGTGGAGGCAGTTAAAGCACTCTATGTTGATTAAAATTTTGGGTGTAGATGATACACAAACTGATAGACCCTGAAGCACTATTTATTTGTGTATTCATGAGCTTGCACAAGTATTGCCACCCCATGTACTGTATTCCAAGATCTGTGCTCCATGTTGCTTGGCGCAGCAAGCAATCAAACTGTTTGTTTACTCAACTGATTGGTTTGAATGGATTTTTATGTCTAAAAAGAGCTCATTTTTTTCCTATTGTTTGATTGTACGCAGATCTTGACAAAAATCAACAAGGTTGACATAGGTCTGATCAGTCATCAGCTTTCTGTTCAGTGGACTTTGGGTTCAGGAAGGGCGCTTTGATGTAGTCAGAGACAGAATGAAACCGTCTGTTAACAATGTGGCGTCCATTGATCAAATAATATTTAAAATTGTCAAAAGCAGGGTTTCATTAGACTTCATTCTCCAAATAATGTAAGGTGTTAATGTGCCAAGAAAATAGGCTGGTGCTAAGATACATTCACTATGTTCAAGTGGAAGTTTCTTGTAATTTTCCATTTTTTAAGCATGCCTTAAAGGACTAGGAAGGATCCAAACAGTAACTGATCACATGACATATGTAATGATATATAATACAAGCAATTAAAAGACAAGGAAGGATTGGAAAGCAAAAGTACAACAGTAAATAAAAACTGAAACTATATTGTGGTCACTTTATTGTAAGACACTTTGCAAAGAATCATTCAGTCAAGTGGCCGATGTGGGAACATGGATGCTTGACTTGGCTTGCCTGGTACAGGGTGAGTTATTGTCACAGTTGGGTTTTGATGTCTCACAGTGTAAACATAGCTGAGTTTCAGTTCAAAGTTCAGAGCAAGGTTAGCGCTGCTCTTTTCCCCCCTTTCTCGAAAGTGTTGAATTGAGAGAATTGCTCTCATCTGTTTCCAGACATATGGAAGCTTTTATAGAAGTTCTTGAAAAATTACTTAGGCTTTTGTATTTATTTATCTCTGCATTTTTCCTCTCTCTTTATATAATAGTTTCCATTACACAAGCTAGATGAAGTAGGGGGAAAGACACAGAGATATTTCCATGGGGCATTTTTGGTAAAGTTGGTGAAAATATGTGGTTGAATTTTGACTCAATGTGGTTCATCTCCAGCTCAAGTCTAAAGCCCCTATTACAGAGCACAAACAGCCTGGTTTTGGCACGCTTATTCCAAAAATGCCAGAACAGTTTCTGATTCATAAAATTCAAAAAAATATATCCATTATCCATCAATATTTTCAAATGACAAGCAGGGCTATGATAGGACAGTTTAACATGTCCAATGTTTTAAACGCTCATAAAAAGACTAGAGACCATCTTGCGATGGGATCACTCCAGCCACAGTGCCCGTCAGCTTGTTGACCTTCCAGCCCACGAGTACACAGTAGTCATTACTAAATTATTACATGACTACTCATGTGTCGGTCCGCAACCATCTTGACACTTTGCCTTCAACTTGTTTTGTGACTGTGTGTTTCACAGTTGCAGCGCTGTTGCAGTGACAAAATCTGTCCACAGAAACACACACAAACACCTGCCAAAGTAGTCAAAAACCGCACTTTGCCATAATGGCGCGCGCGTGCACACACACACACACACACACACACACACACACACACACACACACACACACACACACACACACACACACACACACACACACACACACACAGACTCACAAGGTGAAAACAGTGCCAGCCCCACTGTCGCAGCTGTAAACATGGATCCGTATGAGTTTTACTTGGCCTCTTTGCTGCCAATGGTTACAGTGTGTCAGCCTGTTGTTGCATTGTGTGTGCTGCTGTGGTGCAGCTGTGCTGGAGTCCGTGCTGTTGTCTAGTGACAGCATGCTGGGCTGGAGTGAGGATTAAATGTTGCAGGTGTGTTTGAGGGAACCTTTGGCGTACATTCGAGGAAGGAGTGAGTCACTCTTCATGGTCATCATCCAGGACTGAGTCATGAACCTCTCATCTTTTAAGGGGTTTTTACCCACACAATACCTCACTCTGTCTGACACTGACCATAGAGGCAGTCAGAGCGTTAAAATACAAATAGCTCATCTCTTGTCAACCACCTATCACTCTGCTTCTTTTCTCATTCCTTTCACAGTCTTCCTCTTTCTTCTCTCTGATGTATCTCCTCTCAGATCTCTCTCATCATTCCTCTGCTCAAGCAGGATGCTACATAATTAGTATGTTTCATGTGTATGCTCTCACTGTCTTCCCTCTCCTGTCTTTCATTTGTCCCAGGCTACTGAGCTGGCCCCAGCCCTGCAGACGGACATGGAGGTAAAGGAGGCCATCCAGGGTGCCATCCAGGGTGAGAACGGCGAGGTGGTCCAGATTGTCACCTCTGTGGCCACCTGAGAGCCCACGTCTGGTTCAACACAGCTCATAACTCTGCCCTACAGCATGGCCTGACTAGGCTCAGTGGAACATTAGAGGTCAACAAGTGCATAAAGTCTGACAAGCAATCAAGTCAGAAAACTTTTTTAACAAATACTGAACATCACTGATGAAATGGAGGGAAGAAGCATTTTTCTGTTTTGTTTTTTTTTTTTTTTCCCTGCAAACTCCTCAATCCATTGCCAACCAGATGTCGCAATGTGGAAATGTTCACAGAGAACTCGAAAAGACCCTGATACTCCAATCAACTGTGGTGTTTTCATCACCAAAGGGACCTGGCCCACTGCAGAATACACAGTGGGATTATTGTCTATCCAGGGAGAATGCTGCTTATGGAGCCCATCACTCTGCCACTTCATCAGCACACATGCTTGTTTACATCAACTTTGGAAAATAGTGGTTATTTGGAGTTTAGCTGCTTGGCTAACCCTGAAACCCTTATAAGGGTTTATAAAATCTCTGAATCCCACCTCAAACAACCAGGACTGTGCTCCTCTTCTCAGCATTTTCTGGCAGTTCTTGTCACGGTGGACTGCAGTGGAAAGCAGATTTAGCTGAGACAGCTACTCTTGGTTGTGACTAATTTGCTTTCCTGTGAGCCCTACCTTCCTTTATTTTGTTCAGCTTGTTTTCATATTACTTTAGCCGCACAGCTTTGTTTTTTTGTTTGATTTATCTTATTGTAATATGCCGGAATTTTTGGAGAGCTTTAATTTCAGAGGTAGAAGACCATGAAATAGAAAAGATGGTGCCAGTGGTAGACAGTACAAGTTGCTTGTAGGCTTGTAGAATACCAAGGAAACCTTGAAGTTCTTTATTTCCCCCAGTTTTGTCTCTGTGAAAGATACATTCATGTGAATAAAACATGTTTGTGGTTGCCATAAAAGTGTGTTTTTATTTTGTTTTTTCTCTGTATTTACTCTTTATTTCCATCAGCCGTGATCATCAAAGTAGCTTCAAAGTTTTCCAAGAAAATGACTGCTTTCATCCGTTACAAATAGACAATTGAGGAAAGCGTGAAATAATAGTTTGGTTTTGAGGTCTTGTTTCATGTTGAGCAAATTTATTTACTATTTTTGAAGTAAATATGTATCATGTCAACTTCAATTACATATAATAAGATTAGGCTACTGTAATGTCAGCAATCTTGACAAAATAGACAGCAAAAACAAGCTTTGGTCTTGTCTCTTGCTTTGTCTTAAGACTGTAATTAATATGTTGGCCGCATTATAACAGTTTCTGATCTGTAATTGCTTTTCTTCAAAATCCGCAATGTGCCCACTAAATGGTTATGTTTTTCTGCCAGTAAAAACGCTGAGAATGTATTGTTGTGTTGTGCTGGAGTGATGCTCCTCTAATGATGAATATCTCTGCAGTCAGCGAGAAAGGAGATAAGTGAGACACTCCAAGGCTGTTGGTTTGGGGAAGTTTCCCATGCTCAGTGTGATGTAATAGTGTATTTTGGAGTTGGGGAAAGAACCAAGCGACAAAATGAACTTGATAAAACAACATCCATGGTTTTGGCTGCTTCCTCTTGTTTCCTTTCAGTCTGTTGTTGCTGTCTCTGACCCCCTTTAAACTGCCTCTTCATCTTGTCTATTCCCCTTTCTGCCTCTCCTACGTATTTGTCTTCTCTCACTCAACTTGGGTTTTCCCTCTCTCTCCTTTGGAAGCAGTGTTAAAGTCCATTGACTCCCCTTTAAAATTATACACTAAGCTGGGCTAAAATTTCATAGGATAGACTGGTGGGTCCATCTCTTTGAAATAATCTTGATGTAGCTGAGTTCAAATGTTGGCTTTGGAAACTCCCCCCCCCCCCCCCCCCCCGCGCCGCCCGCCAGTGACCGCTCCATTAAATCTTGGACTTGGAAGGAAACAGACCCTGCTCATAATAGTCTTTTGCTCTTCACTTTTACAACCCTGGGCTCCATCCAAGGGCTGGAGTGGTTACCATAGCGACAGGCCCTCTCTCAGGCTGCCTCTAAGATAACCTGCTGAAAACAGAAATGAGTGATAGATGGAGAGATGAGATTGTTTGGAAGCAGAATGCGTGTTTGGAGAGAGGGAGTGGAGTGATGGACAGAGACCAGAGGGTGTATCTTTCTTTCCTTCTCTCAGCAGCTCTGTGTTCTCTTGCACTGACGGCAGCTCTGCTGGCATCTGCTACAACATGCAAGTACCAGCCTCTGTTGCTTTGACTCCAGCTGCAGATATTCCCCAGCTCAAACTTTTAACAAGGCTGGAGGAGTTATCTCAGGATGTGTAAAGATGAGTGAACATATTTGTTGAGGCAAAAATGTCCAAACACACTGTATCTCTAGAACCATAAATCAGCAATTGTTAATCTTGGGGAAACAAAGCTCCCCACAGCCAAGGATTTATCTGTCTCACGCCAGTGGACAGATTACAGCGTGGCAGCAATGACACAGTTTACAGCATATACACTTTTTTTTTTTTTTTTTTTGGATTTCTCACTTGCTGAATATTCCAAAAGGCTGAGCAATGCTTGCAAATTTTGGCTTTAGAAACATCTGTCTTTTATTCAGCTTTATTCACATTAAATTATGGAGATTCTGGATCTATGTGTTGTTGCGTTCTTAAATTAGACAACAGCAAGTCTTGGACCTTAGCAACATGGCTGTTGTTATATGCATATACATCTGAATGTCAGTTTTTGGAATTTGGAAGTCAGTAGACAGTAATTGTGTTTTTGTCTTTATTGAACACACCCATTAAACATTCACAGTACTGGTGGAAAAAGTAAATGAATCCCTGGATTTAATAACTGGTTTAAACCTCTTTTGGCAGCGGTAACCTCAAACAAGCACTTCCAGTAGCTGCTGATCAGACCTGCACAATGTTCAGGAGGAATTTTGGACCATTCTTCCTACAGAACTGCTTCAGCTCAGACATAATAGGATATCTGGTGTGAGCAGCTCTCTCCAGGTCACTCCACAGCATCCCGCTTGGGCTCTGAAAAGGCAGATTTCTTTGAAGTTATTCTGTAGTAGATTTACTTTGATGTTTAGGGTCATTGTCCTGTTGCATCACCTGTCTTCTACTGAGCTTCAGCAGGTAGAGTGCTATCCTGACACCCTGTAAGAGACCTTGATAAACTCAGTTCATTTTCCCACCAGTGATGGAGAGCTGTCCATGCCCAGAGGCAGCAAAGCCCCAAACCACGATGCTCCCTCCACCCTACTTTACCTATGGAATGATGTTTTCATGCGGGTTTGCAGTGCCCTTTCACCCCATACATGGTGCTGCATGTTCTTCACAAACAATTCAAACCTCAGTGTCCTCAGTTCATAAATTAATTTCTCAATTGTGATGTAGAATGTCGAGGTGCTATTTGGCAACCTTGGCATGTATGTGATTTTTCTTGTATTTGGAGAACAGCGGCTTCCTCCTTGGTGTCCAGCCGCGGACAAAGTGCCCCATGTTACCATGCACCGTGATATGAGTTTGGTAGACTCCAAATATTACTTTTGAACAGCAAACTCAAAATGTCTGCGTGTTTTTTTATGAGTCAAAGTAGCTCTAACCCACACCTCCAATCTGGTTTTATTGACTGGACTCCAGGTTTGAAAACTCCTGACTCCAATTAGCTTCTGTTGAAGTAATTAGCTGAGGGATTCACATGTTTTCTCCAACCTACACTATGAACGTTTTAATGTTATGTTTAATGTTTTATGGACAAGAATAATAGAATGATTTGTGTGTTATTAGGTAAAAAGATTGCGTTTGTTCATAATTGTAACTTGGATGAAGATCTGACTATATTTTAGGATGTTTACACATAAATGTAAGTAATTCTAAAGAGTTGACTTACTTAAGCTTGCCACTGTATAAATATCAGCTGCACAAATAATATGAGAAAATTTGAATTTTTCTTTTTGTCAATACATTAAGGAAGAAGAAATCAAATGATGTGAAAATTACAGACATTTTAGGAAACTTCCATTCTGAATGTACTATTCCAAGAATATTTACATTTTAGTTGCTATTTTTACTAAAAGAAAAATTTCATGCAGCCAAGACTGAAACATAATGATTTATAGGGTGCTCCATTCACAAATGTTACTAATTGTGATTTGGGAGTAGCAGACAGATGTAAATATACTGTGGAGGAGAAATACTACTTATAAGTTCTAAGTATTAGGAAATGACAATGTGAAAGCAAACTTGTTCTTAAGAGCAGTAGCCTACTTGATAAGTGTTCTTACTCACCACCACTGCTTATAACAACCTGCTACAGTACCTAACACTAAACCTACTAAGCTTAATGCATTAACTAGTTCTCTTATGCTGGTTAAAGGTGATGCAGTTGTATGATTACATTTAAGAGCTGTGTTGTGATTTTTCTGAATTATGCAATTTGCAACATTATTTTTCCCTGAATTTTGTCCAATATTCTTTACATCCCGTAAATTCTAATATATGTTAAAATGCAGCATGGCATTTCTCTCCTCTCGTTACTTTATTAACTTTCACGTTACTTAACGCTGCATCAACTACCACGGGTCTTTGAAAGAGTCTGGAATAGATGAATAATAGCTCCATCCATTTATAGTCTCTGTTATCTAAAGCTTCAGAGACACCAATGATAATTCATTGAGAACCAGTCGGGAATCCCTTGACTCGTGAGAAGTAGTAAAAATCTGTGAGAAGTGGGTGCGTAGAGAGCAGCAGAAACTGCGTGGATGGGAGGTTCTCCTTCAGTTTAGGGACCAGATGTGAGAGAGAGGAGGGGTACAAACTCATCCAGACAACGGCTACAAAATGCTTCCTGGTCAACGACTGTACTAAAAACAAACTGTTGTCAGCTGCGACCCTCGTTTGTCTTCTTCTTGTTTTATCGTCGAAGGTAAGTTTAACATTTATTTGCCGTGTTAATTGAAATGCGCATTACGTCGGTGTCCTGAAGGAAACTTCAGACGTGATGACGTGAGGGCGTAACTACTTCTGGCAGACTCTCGGGATGCTTTTTGAAGTTTCTCTGCGGCTCTCTCTATGATGCCTACTTGCATTTAACTTACAAGCCTATAGTCAATCCAACCCAGTCCACACACTGTGCCTCAGCTGACGGCTTTAACAAACGTTCATGTGAAGAATGAAGCAGGTGCATCATGCCAAGGAGACATATACGTAAAAGTATACGAAATATTTGAAAATTCAAAAAAGTGATTTAGCCTGTTACATTACACTTTAAACCTCTCAGGTGATGACTTAAAGGCAGAGGAGTGAAACCTCAAATCATAATAATCTCCTATTTTAGCCTATACAACATACAACCTCATAAATCAAGGTGGCCCTAATTCTGGAATCACTACCCCTGCACTGCCTATGAGTATGGGGCCTTCAGTTTTACTTTTTTTCATAATTTACAAATGATGATACATGATTAATTTGAATAGGGATATAATCTGTGTGTGTGTATGTGTGTGTGTGTGCATGTGTGTGTGTGTGTGTGTGCGCGCGCGCGCGCGCGTGTTGCACCACAACAGCACACACAATGCAACAACAGGCTGACACACTAACCACTGGCAGCAAAGAGGCCAAGTAAAACCCATATGGACCTGTGTTTACAGCTGCAACAATGGGGCTGGCATTGATTTCACCTTGTGAGTCTGTGTGCGAGTGTGTGTGTGTGTGTGTGTGTGTGTTGTGGTATTAATAGGGGTGAGTGGGTGGGTTGCAAGGAATAATGTCTCAGATGACTTGGAGGCCAAGCCTGTTTTATGAGCCAGAGTGGCATAAACATCAAATCTTACTCGCAAATATTAAGTGTCTGAACCAGAGGCATTTAGTCAATAAGCTCTGTGGTCTGTTGGAGCAAGTGACTGTAACACATTTTATTAGCATTGAAAGCCATTATGAGCAAATGTCATTGCAAGTTATTGAGACCCTACTGTTTACTGTATGCTGCAGGAAATTTAATTAGATCAACACTGCCTCTGTCCATATAATAAGATTCCCGGGAAGACTTTTGTGCAGAACAGTATTTTGTGAATTTATAATGAATAGTAAGCTGTATTTGTAGCAACTACTCTGACCTGGTTGTCAATACCGTGAACACAGTACCTTACACTGTATCTTTTGCCTCTTTTATTTCTCTTTCTTTATCATGGAATGCTCTTTGGCAAATGGCAGATGACAACTCATTGAAAAATCCTGAGTGATAATAAATATCTGTGTAAATATGCATTTGCAGGGTAAGGATAACTTCACTTTGAGAGATGAATTGTTCTTAAAATATAAGTCAGGGACAGAAAGAACTGCATCTTGCAGTGTATTTTTGTTCACAGTTTTTACACCAGAATGGTCCTTTGTTTTCAGAGACATTAGGGACTGAGAGAGGTCGTCCACTTTGGACAGAGGCCGACTCTGATTCCATGGGAGAACGACTGCTTGTTTGTTAACGCCAGAAAGCTCTCACGTGATGAAAGGAAACTCTAATTTGCTTTTCATTGAGCAGACATGTAAGTGCTCTGAGAGAGGCTGTGTTTGATTTACCTCCTCTTATCTTTGTTAGGGTTATAAATATGATTATGCCAGATGTGGCATGCGGTACAAGGCTTCGTCTGGAGCCATAAATGATTGATATCACAAAGCATGTTTTCTTCTGGTCCAACCATACCAGGAGGTCAGCCCAGGAAAACAGGGGCAAG